TTGTTCAATTAATTAAAAAAATCAAATAAGATACATTTAGTCACTATCACTCTCGGTTAAGTAATTTGGAACTTCTTCTTTTGATGTTTCCGTTCCATCAAACTCTTCCTCTTCATCATCATCCTCACCCACACATTCTTCCTCTGTCACATATGGCAATTGCATGACCTCACTAATCACCACTTCTTCTCCCCCTTGAGATGCTAGTGAAACATGATTATTTAAAACAGTCGAGGGTTGCACCAATTGTGGCATAGGAGGATCATCGTCTTGATAATAAACATTTCCACCGTCATTCAACGATGAAGTGTCGATTATTGCTCTTGCTCTAATCTTACATGCATCAAACTACCATTTTCTACAAGGATTTTGAGATAGGTAACGGGCATAAAACACTTGTTGAGCTTGATTGGCCAATATGAATGGTTCATCTGTTTGTAATTTAAACCGAGGATTTATGTCAACTATACCAGATGTCGGATGGACCACAATGCCTTTGTTGATATCATACCACTCACACTTGAACAAAATCACTGATTGATGAACATATGAGTCAAAATACTGAACCTCAATTATTTCCTTCAAACTCCCATAATAATCTGACTCATCATTGAAAGTCGTTCCCTTCACACAAACACCGCTATTCATGGTTCTTTTATTTTGTCCATATGCGATAGTATGAAACCGAAATCCATTAACCCAATAACCATTGTATACCTTAACGTTATTGACTGGGCTAGTTACTAAAGGCAAAAGGTGAGAATCAACCTCATATCTTCCACTATGCACCTAGATTTGTTATAAAAATATTTAATATTTAATCCTAAAATATATAAAAATTGAGATCTTACTAATAAAGATTATTAAAATAAATTACTTACTGTTGTCTTAAACCAAGGAATAAATTCAAGTTGCTGTTTGATTTGAATTTGATCCTCTGATAGATCAGAACATACTTGATAATCAAAAAGCCTACATGAAGAAGTTGGAGTAAACAATCTAAACATACTAGCAAATGAAAGTTAGAACTAGAGAACATACGCAATCCATGGATTAATTTCTTCACAATTAAGCAAAACATAAAGTTCTACTGCCTTTAATTCTTTGGGTGACAATGCACGCATACACATTTCTCCACCTAGTGGTTGACCTCGATGTTTAAAGACAGACAAACAATTATCCATATCATCATTCACGCCGATAATGTTTCTTGGTTGATGATTCAATCTTGTCTCTATGTTAGATCCAAAATAATGTGAGCAAAAGAAGGAAATTTCTGAAAGAATATTAGACTCGCAAATTGAAGCTTCAACACGATTTTTGTTCAACACTGTTTTCTTAAGGTCATG